ACTTCAGTGTTAAATATGAAGATGCACATTCAGCACTAAAGAAGATTAGCGCAGGCGTCCCGCAGGGGAGCATTCTTGGGCCCATTCTATATCTCCTGTATACACACGACTTACCCTCTGCAAACGAACTAGTTACAGCAACATTTGCAGACGATACTGCGGTTCTAGCAATCGAAAACAATATGGAAGACGCGACGGCTAATCTGCAACACACAGTCAATCAAATTGCTTCATGGGCAAAAAAATGAAGAATCAAGCTAAATAAGGAAAAATCAGTACATATAGTCTTCTCATTGAGAAATTATAACCATATGCCAATTCATATCGATGTCACAAAAATTCCACACGCCAACGAAGCCAAATATCTGGGCATTACGCTCGACGCTAAGCTGCGCTGGAAAGCGCATGTTAAGAAAAAACGAGAAGAGCTTGACCTAAAACTAAACAAATTTTACCACCTCATTGGCAGGCGCTCTAAACTGGCAATCCACAACAAACTAATGGTCTATAAACAAATACTGAAGCCGGCTTGGAGTTATGGCATACAATTCTGGGGTTGTGTCAGCAAGAAATACATTGCAACTATCCAATGAAGTTCTTCTCAAGCATTGTAATGCTTTGGGTATAATCCTTCGGGAAAGTAAAAACTGCGACATTTAGCCTTTTGAATTGTATGAGGGATTGCTGCTTTTAAAATTGAATTTACTAGACTCAATCAACGATATAAAGCAAATCATCCGGTATATTAAAGAAAATAATTTAGGGAAAGTATATACCAATGTTTATATCGTGACCAGAATCATGATTACAGTTCCAGTCAGTACAGCTTCTGCTATTTGCAAATCTATTTGCAAAGTAGGATTTGCTAAGAAAGACTATCTGTGTTGACAATTTTATCAATTGAAGCGAAACTAACAGCGGTGCAAATTATGATATAATTTTAAAAAAATTCAGTGAGGCTAAAAGTAGAAAAATTCATTTCTTTTAATTTGCGTTACTTTTAATTTGATTACCAATAAAATAAAAGATAAATTAAATGTAAATTAGTTACTTTTATAACTAAGTAATGCAAAAGGCCTCGCAATTAAAATTCGCCGACGTCTAGCTCAGCCATTGTATGAAACATTGGTTGCGTTTTACTTGTATTCAGTCGGAGGCTTTTTTTTTACACACTTCACTAAATCTGACATATGTTTATTGATTATATTGATTTATAATCTTCTCATAATATATTTGTGGCGACAGTACAACCAATACGGCAACCAAGAAAATATCCAATTGTCATTATTGAAGAAAAAATACACCTGGCAATGTTTAAAAAATAAAAGCACATGTAAATAGTTGATGGTTAATTTTCCTAGAGTAAAGTTGTATTATTTTGTAGTTTGAAGAAAATAGTTTTGTATAATAGTGTATTTTAAATAAAATAGTCAAAAGAAACGACTAAAGTGGTGACCCCGACGCGCAAAGTAAAAAAACTTACAGAACTAATTTTTTTAAAAAAAAAAGAAAAAAAGGGCAAAGTAACATTAGTTTTAGAAATGCTAAACAACATTCACTAAAACTATTAACGGGCTTATCCAACACGCACATCGTCATCACAAGTTGCAGAACAAGAGTACTTGGAACAGCTAAGGTGGTGACTTCGTTGGAAAATCAAGCAAAAACACTACAAAGCAGTGCATCTTATGCAAGAGTACACGAGCAAGCTGCTTTCCAGACAGGCACACGACAACATGGCTGTAAATGCAGAACAAACTGTAAATCCACAAGTAGACTCCACTGAAATGAACATGAGACACAATGTGAGAGCCCCGAACTTCAATAGAACCAACCCATCAGTATGGTTCGCGCAACTGGAACGAGTCTTTCGTTTAAATAATATTCGAGAACACACAGATAAATTCGATTGGGTGGCAGTAAATTTAGATGAAGACATTGTGATGGTTGCTGAAGATCTAATTACAAATCCCCCAACGAACAATAAATATGACACACTCAAGGCGCGTTTGTTGGGGAAATTTGCGGAATCAGCCGAATCCAAGTTGCGGCGCCTACTACAAGGAGGAGATACTACGGGTATGAAGCCGTCGGAAATATCATTCGTACGCTTTTTCTCAGCGAAATGCCCAAATCGATTCGTCCGGTATTGGCAATTTGGGAAGAGGATGATCTAAATAAACTTGCCAAGTTAGCTGATAAGATGCAGGAGGCGTCAACAACAAACGCAATGTACATGTGTGAAGTATCGCCACAGGCTAAGCACGACTCGACAACTGCACATAATGCAGTTAATGCAGCACATAATGATTTGTACACAGCTGTTCAACAACTGTAAAAAGCTGCAAGTTGAAGTTAGCCAACTCAGGAAACCAATCACGAGTCGCAACGGTTCTCGATCGCGCTCACCGAAAACTGTAAGCTATGTCAACGGTCAACAGCGACGTCATGGCAAATTGTGTTACTATCACACCAACTTTGGGGGCGCTGCCACCAAGTGCAAGCCAAGCTGCTCACGATGGGCACCTTTAAACTAAAAAAGCTGTCGTCATACACACTGATTGACGGCAGTAGCAAACAACTTGACCACATAACCAGTGATTCATCAGTAGCAAAAAAACAACCACTCATAAATAGTGAACGTCTTTTTGTCGTCGATCGCAAATCATGGTTGACTCGGACTCAGTTGTATCAGTAGCGCCACCGCATTTGGTGAAATTCAAAACAACACAAGGAGAGCTCCAACTATACGCAGCTAACCGAACTCTCATTACCACATTTGGCAACAACACAATGGAATTTGACCTAGGTTTACGGAGATCATTTAGGTGACAATTTATCATCGCTAATGTCGAAGTTGCTATTATTGGTGCTGATTTCTTAAACCATTTTCATTTGTTAGTTGATCTGAGAAACAAACAACTTATAGACATGACGACGAAACTTAACACACGAGGTGATCTTTCAACTTCTCCGCCAACAACCATATCTACAATAGATGAGACAGCCAAGTTCAGCAATCTGCTCAAAGAATTCGTTGATATTACACGACCAGTGTTGAAACAGTCACTTCATGACACTCAAAAGCATGGGGTGACTCATCAAATTGAGACAAGAGGCAACATTCTATTTGATCGTCCCAGAAGGTTATCTGGACAGAAACTTGCTGTGGCAAAAGCCGAAATCACTCTATTACTGGACCAAGGTATTTGCCGTTTGTCAAAAAGTCCATGGGCAAGTCCCCTACACATGGTGGCGAAAAATAATCGTGGCTGGCGTGCTTGTGGCGACTGTCGCTTGTGAACGCAATAACGATACCAGACAGGTATCCTATCGCTCATGTGCATGATTTTGCGGAATAGTTACACAACAAAACGCTATTTTCAGCACTCGACTTGGTGAAAGCATATTACCAAATCCCAACGGCAGAGGATGCCATTCAAAAAACTGCCGTGAGCACACCTTTTGGCCTGATTGAGTTCCAGTACTTGCCGTTCGGATTGAAAAACGAATGAAGACATTCCAACGTTTCATGGACCAAATTTTTCGATGCCTTGATTTCGTGTATTGCTATATTGACGACATTCTCATAGCTTCAACGTTCATAGAGGAACATGAACGTCATCTCCGAACAGTCTTTACCATTTTGCGCCAACATAGACTCAGGATAAATGTCAACAAATGTCAATTTGGTAAATCGGAAATTCTCTTCCTGGGCTACACGGTCAGCAAGAATGGCATTAAACCACCACAGGACCGCATTGAAGCAATAGTGAATTACAAACAACCTGACACAGTCAGGTGTTCTGAATTACTACCGGCGTTGTATACCACACTTATCGCAACATCAAGCACAGCTTAGTGATCTGGTATGAAACATCAAAAAAAATGACAAACGAAAAATCTCTTGGACTCCCGAAAGTCTCGATGCGTTCAATAACTGTAAACACAGTGTTGCGAATGCTGCACTAATTGCACATCCAGCACCTGATGCTGAGCTGACACTTATCTGTGATACATCTGACGTTGCTATTGGCGCCGCCGTAGAACAATATGACCAGGGCACTTGGGTACCACTCGGATTTTTTTCGAGAAAACTCTCAGCAACTGAAAAAACTTACAGCGCATATGATAGAGAATTATTAGCAATCTACAGCGTCATTCGTTTTTTCAAACACCTCCTAGAGGCACGAGTGTTCGTCATTAAAACGGACCACAAACCGCTGATATATGCTTTCAAACAGAAACCAGAGAAGGCGTCACCACGACAGCTCCGCCATCTCGACTATATTTCCCAATTTTCAACAACCATTGTACACCTTTCTGAAAGTGACAATGCTGTGACAGATGCTCTTTCTCGCATTTCAGCTGTATCGCTGCCAACTACTGTCAGTTTATCAACCGTTGCAGAGGAACAACAAAACGATCAAGAGTTAAAAACGCTGTTGCACGGCGAAACATCTTTGAAACTGCAAGCAATTGTTTTCAACGACAAAAATTCTTTGTTCTCCGATGTGTCTACAGGAACAATTCGGCCATACGTGCCAGTATCTCTGCGTCATAAAGTTTTCGCATCAATTCACGGCATGTCACACCCCAGTGGAATATCCACCCTGCATCAGATAAAACAAAAATACGTCTGGCCTTCCATGCGAATTGATATAGTTGAATGGGCGCGAAATTGTTTACCCTGTCAACGAGCAAAAATACACAGACACAATAATTTTCGGCCAATTAAAATCGACATGCCATACAACCGTTTCGACCATGTATATATCGACATCATTGTGATGCCAATGGATAAAGGGTATCGCTATTGTTTAACAATGATTGATCGTTTTTCAAGGTGACCTGAAGCTATATCTTTAAAAGACATTACGGCAAACACCATAGTATCTGTTTTTTGGTCAAACTGGGTGGCGAGATTTGGATGCCCGCAAACCATAACAACGGACCGGGGCCTACAATTTGTATCAGCTTATTTCAAAGCCATGACCAAAATGATAGGAGCAAAACACGTCCACACCACATCATACCGCCCACAGGCAAACGGTATGATTGAACGCTGGCATCGTTCTTTAAAAGCAGCACTAATGTGTCACGAAGTAGAATCCTGGACAGAATTACTACCAACAGTCCTGCTAGGTCTACGAACGTGTTTCAAGGAAGATCTGCAAACTTCAACTGCTGAGATGCTGTGTGGTTCCCCGATTCGACTACCGAACGAGTTTGTTGAGGACGACCAACAATGCACCAGCCCGCAGATTTTCATAGAGGAGTTTCGCAAGCACATGCGATTAGTGCGACCAACTCCCGCAACACATCACCGGAACAATGTTTCATTTGTGTTGAAAAACCTTTACAACTGTTCACACGTCCTGCTTAGGACTGATTCTGTTCGTCGCCCGTTGGAGCCACCGTACACTGGACCATTTAGGGTACTTAGTAGACCAACGGACCGAACTTTCGTAATTGAGATCCAGGGAAAAGAGACTACAGTTTCAGCAGAAAGGCTCAAACCTGCTTTCATTACTAAAGAAGTAGGTGTGAAGGAGGCAACGAAGAACCCACACACGCACGTAAAGAGAAACCAGGTGAGGTTTTCACAATAGACAATACTGGAAGGGAGTACTGTGGCGACAGTTCAACCATTACGGCAACCCAGAAAATATCCAATTGTCATTATTGAAGAAGAAATACACCTGGCAATGCTTAAAAGATAAAAGCACATATAAATAGTTGATGGTTAATTTTCCTAGAGTAAAGTTGTATTGTTTTGTAGTTTGAAAAAAGTAGTTTTGTATAATAGTGTATTTTGAATAAAATAGTCAAAAGAAACGACTAAATATTCATATGATATTCTCATATAACACTTGCAAAATTAACAAAAGTGATGAAGGAATCATTCATTAGTATTTAATTATATGTATTTAATTTCTAACTAAAACAACCCCTAATTGAATACACACATAATATATTAGAACTTAAATAAAATACATGGATAAAATACATGGATAATAAAATGCTAACAACAACAACGTACACTAACAGCATAACACCAAAACACAAAAATAATAAAAATACAAACAACTTTTTGTCCGCAAGCAATAGCGCTCAGTTTATAGCACACAATTTTTACGGATGTCAAAACTGATCGAATGGGCAGTCACTACATTTATTCATTTTTGATGATGGCACTCAATGATTCTTATCACTTGATTATATGCTATGACTTATGAGTCTTTTGCATACTATTCTACTAAGAAACTTGTACGTAATTTTATGACGCTAATTCAGAAGCACTGGCACTCGTTAACGAAAATACTTATGAATTTTGTGATGAGTATAAATGCGTACAAGTGACGTATGAGAAAAAGATTCATACATATTTATATTTGGTTTTCAAGTGTACTCCCCACTATCCCTGCGGTAAGCACATGAAAAATTAATGCCTGACATCGTGTTTACAAAAGAAGAAAGAAGTCATGATATTAATAGAATGTACTGGTAATGCATAATGTTATGCGCCTAGCGAAAAAAAAACCCTTACTCTTCGTGAAATTAACCGGACGACAGATATTTTTTGTCATATTTGGTTTTGTTGTATTCGTTTCTATAAAATTACTCAACCATGGTTAGTTATTGTATGCATTTAAGTGTGAGCCGTCTAGTTTTTCGTTGAGCATTGCAATATAACTTTTTTCAACTATTGTTAAATAATATTTGTTAAAATAATATTTTAATTATTGTTTTTCCTTCGGTTCTCCATTCGGCATTCCAGTGTTAGTTGAAAATTAAATTGAAAAACTATACTTTATACACTTTATTTATTATTTCTCTGTTTCAGTCTGCAGTTCAGCTGCTGCTTCCAGTTTATTTATTTATTTATTATTTTAACAATAATTATTATTATTTAATTATTTATTTATGTTTTAATTTAAGTTATTAGTTATTATTTTTCATTCCGTTTTTGGTTTTTTTTTCAATTGTGCTTTATAAATAAATTATAATAAAAAACATTTTTGAAACAATATTATATTTTTATTAATTTTTGTTGCCTTTTTATATTAAATTTATATTTAGTTTATTAAATCTATAATATATTAATAATAATTCAATTTTTGTCATTTTTATTTATTTTTTTAATAAATTGAAACAAAAAAAATTTTGATTTTTTATTTTTTTTTATAAAAATTTATTTTAGATTAAATAAATATAAAATGCAAAAGCATGCATTCAAAACAGTAATAGCCTTACAAGCTACTGATATCGTAAGCTACAGAAGAAGGTGGCCTTCTTTTAGAAGCAGGTCGTAAGGCAGAAAATGATCAGCCTTATATATTTCGTGCATAAGAATCGCTCATGAATATTAGTTTATGTTGTCGTGCTTACTGTTATATATTATATTATATTATTATGTATAAATAATTTGTTTGTATTATTTTGTATGAATAATTTGTTGTAATAATTTCATTTCAAATATATTTTGTTGTAAAAAATAATTTTGTCAATGCAATGCCCAAAAAACATACGTCATACGCTTTGTTTGCTCATGAAAACAAAAACGTCAAATTTCGTCTGCAAGAAAATGCATTCTTGCAGTTCGTAACAAGTTCATTCTTTGGCATGCATGGTCAAGGTTATTTTAGTTAATTTATTTGTTGTAAATTGATTATTAATTTTAATTGAAATGCACAATTGAATTTTTGACAATTCAATTGATGCGAAGCCACATCCGTTATTAATTCATTGCTTTATTCTATTAGATTTGTAAATTTAGTTCAAGTGTTAAATTTACGTCACATAAGCGCCTATTCACTGGATTTAAGTGTTCAGTGACTAGGATAATTAGGACAATCGTCGAAATCTCTGGGTTCAAGTACTCAGTGGTTTTCTTGTTTAAATAGAATCAACATAAGTACTGGATTCAAGTGTTCAGTGCTTGCAAATAGTTGATTCCAACGTTGATCACACATTTTGGTTTGATCGTACATTTTGGTGACCTCGTGAAACGGAGAGCAGCACAGGACTGGTTTGACGCAGCAACAGTCAACAATCAACAGTCAGCAGTTAAGTTTCAGCATTCAGCATTCGAAGAACATTTCGTAGCACATTTGGCAAAAATTCCAGAATATCGATGGCAACTCTTAATGAATTCCTAGATGCCCAAAAGGAGACGGGCGAAGAGATTCAACGAATCGTCAGGAACTTCAAAAAAGATTCGGCTAAACGCAAGCAAACATCAGCATACTACAGTGAAAGGTTACGTCGGCTTAATATTGCGTGGACGCAATTTGAACAAAATGACACAACGCTCAGAACTCTCATCGTTCAACCAACAGATGATGAGTATTTTACATCTTGTTACTATGATAAAATAAAAGAAGTAACAAATGAATATAGTGAAATATTCAAGATAGAAGCTTTTCGAATCAAAGCAACAGGTGAAGCTGCTAGTAACCAAATGGCATCACAGCCGCAACCAGTGGCTACGACAAACGGTTTGATAAGAAAAATATCTGCTCGAATGGCAGCCCTAAAAAGATTAGTAGAGAGCTTGTCAGAGAGTGAAGGACTACAGCCAATTCAATATTACGAAATTAAATCAAACACGATCATGCAACAATGGAACCAACTGGGATGTTTCCATGATGAACTGTGGGAAAACTTGGAAAATCCACTAACGTCAGGATTTAACCAAGATGAATATTACCAAATTGAAGATTTGGTACAACAATGTTTGATAGAGCTGTCCATAAAATTGGATCAACTACAAAACAAACAAGCAGCAGTAGCAGAAACAAATATGCGTTCCTCACTGCCATTGCCAAAGGTAACAATCCCAAGTTTTAATGGAAATTACTTAAACTGGAGGCAATTTTTTGACTTGTTTACACAAATGGTAGACAAACAGCCCCTACCAGCTGCTCAAAAAATGTGGTATTTGAAATCACATGTGACAGGTGAAGCTGAAAAATTAATCAGTCATTTCAGCATAACAGAGGAGAATTATCCTGCAGCCTGGACATTATTACAAGACCGCTATAACAATAAAAGGGTCTTGACGTCCACCTTAATCGATGGACTTCTAAATCAGCCATCAGGCACATCAACTGTGGCAGCAGTTAAAAATTTACATGACACAACGAAAGAGTGTCTATTAGCACTGAACAGTCTTGGCGGTCAAACGACTTTTTGGGACCCAATTTTGTTACAGGTACTTATTAAAAAACTCGATCGGATGATGCTCATTAGATATGAGCAATCTCTGGCAAAACCAAAAGAGATACAAAACATTCAGGAGTTTTTAGCCTTTTTAGAGCTACAATTTCAACTGATGGAAGTTGTAGAACAAAAAGATAAGGTGGCCATAAAAACTAAAGCAGATCGAAATCGTCGGTTGTAACAGTTTCTAAAAGAAACAACAATTGCAAACTGTGCAATGTAGACAGGCACCCACTATACCATTGCCGTAAATTCCTGCAATTTTCACCATCTCAACGATTGGATTGGGTGAAAAATCAACAGCTCTGTTTTAACTGTTTCAGAAATGATCATGTGGTGAACAAATGTTTATCAAGAAGTTGTACCAAATGTAATAAAAAGCATAACACGTTGCTACATTTGGAATTTAACAATCAAACAAAACAAAACATTCAACCTACTTCATGTGGGTACAATACTGCAGTTACCACAGCGACAGCAAACACATCCACAGGTCATCGTGAATATGTTTTTTTGCCAACTGCAGGAGTCAAAATAACTGCAGCTAATGGAAATACAAATGAAGTCCGAGCATTACTAGACTCTGGTTCACAAGTGAACATAGTCTCTGAGCGTCTTGTCAGAAGGCTCAATATATCAAAAACAAAATCGTTATTGTGCACAGAAGGTATAAGAAAGGTGCACAAAAATTCAACGCAGCGAGTTAACATCAAATTGCAATCTCTTAACTCGAGGTTCACTACAGAAGTCGAAGCGTTTGTGCTTCCAAACATAGTTCCACTTCAACCAAGTTCCAACTACGATATTTCCAAATGGAAGGTGCCGAACAGCATTCAGTTAGCAGATCCAACATTTTTCCAACAAGGGAAAATTGATATTTTACTCGGTGCGGAGTTCTATTTCAGTCTGTTAAAAAGAGTAAAATCACGCTTGCTCCTTGGCTTCCAGTCTTGCAAAATTCTACATTTGGCTGGTTTGTCAGTGGCAAGGTTGCATCAAATACAGACACATCTCAAAAAACAGCTTGGAGAAGGTTCATCAGTCTTGAACGACGGCTAGCAAAAAATGATATTTTGCGGAAACAATATGTGCAGTTTATGTGAAGAGTATGAGCGATTGGGTCACATGACTGAAGTAAACCTGGATTCCATGTTGACTCCAAGATATTTCATTCCTCATCATTGTGTACTAAAACCAGATAGTACAACTACTAAACTTCGAGTGGTGTTTGACGCATCAGCCAAAACTATATCTGGACACTCGTTGAATGATTTAATGTATAACGGACCGGCAGTTGAAAGTGATCTTTTTTCAACTCTGCTCCGTTTTAGGCGACCACGGTTTGTTTTCACCACAGATATCGAGAAAATGTATCGTCAAGTTTTGATAAATCCTGAAGATCGGCGTTATCAACTTATCATTTGGAGAAGCAGTCCAAATTCTACGATTCGTTATTATCAGCTAAACACAATTACATATGGAACTCGAGCAGCTCCTTACCTAGCAACAAGATGTCTGTAAAAGATAGCATTAGATAATAAGGTGAATTATCCAAGTCCTATGTGACAATTTCTACGTTGACGATGGGTGGATCAGATAGTTTAATTACGGCTATTGAAGCTCAAAGACAACTAATCCATATTTTGAAGAAGCATCATTTTTGTCTTCGGAAATGGAGCGCAAACCATCCTCAACTTTTGAAAAACATTTCCCAAGATGATCAAGAGGTAAATCTAGATTTTACTAATGATAATAACGAGTCAATCAAAACGCTGGGATTATTTTGGTTGCCCAAGGCGGATTTATTTGGAATTAAGGTTAAAATGGTTACTGAAGGAATAATCACGAAGAGAGTCGTTAGTTCTGATTTAGCTAGACTGTTCGACCCACTTGGTTTATTAGCTCCAGTAATAATCAAAGCAAAGATTTTCATACAACACTTATGGCAGTTGAAATTATCTTTGGATGAACCACTTCCTACAGATCTTCGTACAACATGGTCAACATTTAGAGAAAACTTAAGTACTCTAGAAAACCTTCAAGTGGCAAGACATATCTTCTGGGGCGAGGTTCCATCATCAACACAACTACACATTTTTGCTGATGCATCTGAAAAGGCATTTGGTGCTACAGCATATGTCAGAGCAATTTTAAAGGATGGTAGAATAATAGTGCGACTATTATGTGCAAAGTCAACAGTAGCACCACTCAGAAAACAAACGCTACCGCGACTAGAGTTATGTGCGGCAGTTCTAGCAGCGGAACTTTCAGCAAGAGTCAAAAGCGATCTTCAGAAGAAGGACTAGCCAGTATTTTTGTGGGCTGATTCAGAAATTGTGTTGTCTTGGATCAACTCACAGTCCTCATCATTTCAAACATTTGTAGCTAACAAGGTGCCATGAATTCAAACTTTAATTCTGTCTGAACAGTGGCGACATGTTAGGTCAAAGAACAACCCAGCTGATGTGTTATCAAGAGGACTTTCAGCAAGGGCATTGTCAACATGTGCACTTTGGTTTCAAGGACCGTTCTTTTTGCATGGAAGGCAGGAAGTATGGCCACCAAGGTTTTTATCATCATTACAAGTTCCAGTTGATCTGGAGAAGAAAAAGGTTGTAGCTGTAGCAACTTAATGCAATGACGCAATTTCATATACAGGATTCAGCACAAGACGTTACAAAGGAGAGTAGCATATGTTCTTAGATTTATTAACAACACAAGAATGTCAAAGGAGTCACGTGCCATACATATAGCACCCAGTGCTACCGAATTGGAAGCAGCATTAATAACTATAATATGTCACATTCATGGTAATGATTTTCATGAAGAAATCGAACAACTGAAGAAACAAGGCCATGTTGATAAATCTAGTTCAATCAGTAGTTTATCTCCATTCATTGATAATGCAAATGTTCTTAGAGTAGGAGGACGCTTAGAAGCCTCATCATTACCATACGATTCTAAACACCCAATGCTGATCTCATACAATGATCCATTGGCAAAATTATTATTCATGATATTCCATGAAGAAAACAAGCACTGTGGCCCGCAGGCACTATTGAGTATAGTAAGACAACGTTTTTGGCCGATTAAAAGTAATTCAACAGCCCGAGCAACGGTTCAGCTATGCATTCGATGCAACAAAGCACGTCCGCAACTATGCCAACAAATTATGGGGAATCTACCAGAGTCAAGAATAACTCCTGTAAGACCCTTCATTAATGCTGGGGTAGACTATTGCGGACCATTTTGGATGCACTACAAGGTGAGGGGCAAAAAGCCAACGAAGGCATATATTGCTGTCTTTTGTTGTTTTGCCATAAAGGCGGTACATCTCGAGTTGGTGACCGACTTATCAACAAATGCTTTCATTGGAGCATTAAAACGATTCATAGGTCGACGAGGGCGTTGTTTGAATATTTACAGTGATAATGTAACAAACTTCGTAGGCGCCAAAAACCAGTTAGCAGAACTAGAGGAAAGCATTTATTCTAATGAAGGGCAAGAAGCAATAATCTCTGCTTGCAGTACTACAGGAATAAACTTTCATTTTATTCCACCAAGGGCTCCACACTTTGCCGGTTTATGGGAAGCATCCGTAAAGTCCGCAAAATATTTGTTTCAACAGCATCATTGACGTATGAAGAACTCGAAACAGTGGTGGTGGAAATTGAAGGGATATTAAATTCACGACCATTGACTCCAATGTTCAATGATCCAACTGATTTGACAGCATTAACTCCAGGACACTTATTAATTGGAGAAGCTCTTACAACTCATGTAGACAGCCGATCAAAACCAGAAAAACACACGTTATTGTCACGTTGGAACCTAGTTTCCCAGTTAAAACATAATTTCTGGAAACGCTGGTCTAATGAATATTTGATGGAACTGCAACAACGTAACAAATGGAAAACACAATCTGCCAACATACAGTTAGGAGACATGGTTATAATCAAAGAAGATAACGTCCCAGTGATGCAGTGGCCCTTGGGACGAATTGTACATGTGTACAAGAGTACAGATGAACGTATCCGAGTAGCTGACGTTAAAACAAAATAGGCATTTTTAAACGCCCAATTCATCGAATAGCTGTACTGCCTGTTAATACAGATGATCAACCAACAATGGCTGAAGCTAATCACGAAATACCTCCTGACAACGTAGTTATTGAAGATAAAAAAGAGTCGTATGAAGAACCCAAGACAAAACGTAGAAAACTCCCGACCAACTTATACTGTTCTGTATTACTCACACTATTACTGATATTGCCAATAGTAATAGGGCCTCAAATTGATAATAAAAGATTTGGGTCGAAATTGGGTATTCATTATGAAAATCTGGGCATAGCTGCCATATCAACTACTGATTTGGAATCTATTAGTTTATTACGACTTAAGTCTTTATTGGACAGACTGCGTGCTTAAACACAGCTTCGTTTCCGTGCAAGGACAACAAAATAATTGCAAGCACGTCAAGATATTCACACAGTAGTCTTGGTAAAATCTCCGAATTAAGGCTACAATCCCCTATAAAGACATCAGATGCTTACAGCGGAAACAGTACACTGTCAACATTACGCGACAACCAATACGATCAACAGCTGAAAGAGCTCACAGTATTGCAGAAGGTTTTGCAGTCATACCAGATAAATGATCTTCCAAATCAATTTTAGTCACACAAGTACCACAGCTTCATCATAGCTTACGCAGCATTTGTTATAAGTCTGATATTATTCATAATCATGATGAAGAATAAATTGCAGAAAAAACCTGTAAACCCAATTGAACTTCCACCCGATGAAGAAGCCACCCGCACAACACCTATACCCATGCCACGTTGGCAGTCACGAGAATTCGTTATCTACATATAATCGGACTGACTACCTGACAGCTAGAGGCTCATATTGTTGAACGGTTGTTCAACGCGGGGGAGAATGTTAAATATTATATTATATTATTATGTATAAATAATTTGTTTGTATTATTTTGTATGAATAATTTGTTGTAATAATTTCATTTCAAATATATTTTGTTGTAAAAAATAATTTTGTCAATGCAATGCCCAAAAAACATACGTCATACGCTTTGTTTGCTCATGAAAACAAAAACGTCAAATTTCGTCTGCAAGAAAATGCATTCTTGCAGTTCGTAACAAGTTCATTCTTTGGCATGCATGGTCAAGGTTATTTTAGTTAATTTATTTGTTGTAAATTGATTATTAATTTTAAATGAAATGCACAATTGAATTTTTGACAATTCAATTGATGCGAAGCCACATCCGTTATTAATTCATTGCTTTATTCTATTAGATTTGTAAATTTAGTTCAAGTGTTAAATTTACGTCACATAAGCGCCTATCCACTGGATTTAAGTGTTCAGTGACTAGGATAATTAGGACAATCGTCGAAATCTCTGGGTTCAAGTACTCAGTGGTTTTCTTGTTTAAATAGAATCAACATAAGTACTGGATTCAAGTGTTCAGTGCTTGCAAATAGTTGATTCCAGCGTTGATCAGACATTTTGGTTTGATCGTACACTTACCACATGCTTCCATGGTAAAGTGCATTTTAATTCGTAAACGAAGTTTTACGAATGTCAATTCCGCATTGCATACCTTTTGCACTTTACCAAGTAATGCATGATTTCGGCGGCGAACTGTTTATAAAAGTCATGGAAATTCTGAAAGAAACTCGTCATAATGACCTCCTGAAAAGTAAGCATAATGTAAGAGAAGATAAGAGCATGACGGTCCCTATTGGATCTAAATATTAAAACTATGACTCTTTGCAGTTCTCTGGCACATACACATTCTTCACCGCGTTTACACATACACATTCTTCACAGCCTAACAATTAATCGCACATACAAATACAGTGCCTCTCAGCTTTTTTCATCCAATACCAATTTAAAATTCTTTACGGTATTACTGAAAAACTATGTCATTAATCGAAAATATTTAAATGCCATTTTTAAGAAAAAATATTTACTATATGATTTAGAAACTTCAAATATATCGAAAATATTGTTTTAATAAATAATGAACATAAACTATAAAAATACTCCTATTTTAATGCCTCAGCTTATTTCATCCACAAGAAGAAATCTCTTTTAGGGCCAAAGTTAATATTTGATATGATACCCTTTCGCTTTTATTACTTCGTGAAGTCTCTTTATCACTTCGTCAAGTCTCTTCGGTTATTTCTGGAGCAATTTTCATCCACTCTTGTATAATAACCTTTTCTTAAGTCTTCTTTTTTGAAAATAGTATATTGCCGAATGTTTTGCCCCAATTTTGCCCATAAATTTTCAATGACAGTCATGTCTGGGCTCTGCACCGGCGGTATCATCAGATGTGGGCAGTTCCACATTAACTAAATTAACTAAGACTGTACGATACCGGCCTTATGTTTTGGGTAGTTGTCTTGGTAGAAGCGAAATGTTTCAGGAATTCGAAGTTTCACAGCACTCTGCAATAAATTTTGTTCAAAACGTTGAGGCTCATTGTTTTGTTCATGTTACCATCAATAAACTCCAGATTACCAACGCCGGCGGCTGACATACAGGTACAATTCATAACACTTCTGCCGCTATGCTTTACTATGCTATGCTTTAGATGTTCTTTTTTGAGCTCAGGGTTCCGCCACATGTAAGTCATGCCATCTGAGCCAGAAATATTGAATTTAGACTCGTCTGAGAATATAACGCTATTCCAAAAGTCTAATTTTTTGTGAGCATGTTCCTTAGCATAAGTAAGTCGCCTTTTCTGATTTTTTTTTGTATATGAAGGGTTTTATTTAGCTGCTCGACTATTAAAGTGGGATTGTTGAAGCACGCGGCGGATGGTTTCCGCATTGTACGACTTGCCTAGTTCTATCCGTAATTTCCTGACTGTATCAGGTGCATTTAATTTTGGATTCCTTTTGATTTTTCTAACAAAATATCGCCCCTCAGATGAGTTGCAAATTTTATTTGGCGCACTCCCGCCCATATTTTGAGTCCTATTCTTACGAACAAAGTGATTAATGATGCTTTGCACAGTGGAGCGTCCTTAGAATGGGTTAGCATCAATTCTCACTGCTCAAGTGTAGTGCGTCGTCCCATTTTTTAAAAAATTACTTATTTATCGTTGCACGTCCAAAATCACAAAAAAAATTTATGTATTTTTGAATTTGGTTGCAAATATTTTAAAAATATTGCGGAAAAAAATCCCGTTGCACAGTGCGACATACTGGTGACTAAATTCAAATGAGATTTTGGATGAAATAAGCTTTGAACGAAACAGAAACAAATTTTATGTACTTTGGTTATTTATTATATTCAATAAGCGTGCCTTTCCTCACATAACTACATTAAAAACTTGATTGTTTTCGAATTCATTTTTAAAATGCAATGTTTTAAAAATTTAAAACATTGTTGGATAAAATAAGCTGAGAACCACTGTATATTTTATATGCATGCGCTAGAATTTTGCCAACAAAATTGTAATTTATTGTGTAAAAGAAGTTCAGTTTAATATTTTAAGATAAAATTATCCTAGAATTTATAAGGCTTTTTTTGCTAAATTAGATCAATATAATTATCGACAACTTACCTTTTTTTTCGTGCAGGTAATTGAAATACTAACGAACCTATTTTTGCTGATTCTGATATTTCTCCTTCGTATCTAGTTTCCAGAAAGTACGGTATGTTATCGTTTTGATCCAAAATATGTACAACGACATACTGTGTTGCCGTGAAGGATGCCATATTTATTGCAGTAACGGTTAAATTAAAAACCCTTAAAAAATTTTTGATTATGTTATATAAATTAATTAATATATATGCATATTGTATAAAAATTCTACAATAGTAATAAAATTTCTGTAATGAACTCAGTTTTTAGATTATTCGCAGTTAGTGAGTGAGACAGTGTCTCTGTAGTCCCACGCAGATTAACTAGTTCGACGTTTAAACCAAGGTACCTACGTAATTTTGGTTTTTTTTATTCTATTTTTTTTTTTAGCAAATTCATTTACTATGCCATAATTAATTTTGGCAAATTCTAAAATTATAATAAATTTGAATGACACTTCAATCGACGATTTTGATAACAGTTGTAATAATACAGATCAGTTTTAATATACTGCTAAAATGAACACGAGCGAACCAAAAGAAAGCCATAAACACTGCTGTGGATGGGCAAAATTATCAACTATGGCCACGCTAAATGAAAATAGATGTGAACGAAAATGCATCCAATAAAATAAAAACGACAAGGAAGCACAGTTTTTTGTTATGAGAAAAATTTAAATCGAATATAAACATTTATTTATAGCTATAAAAAGTGAGCTATCCAAGAAGGTTCTACTTGAGATATGTATATGTAAGTATTAAAATAGTGAATGACGAGCTAGTGATTGATTTTATTGCAAACATTACAACAATAACGCAACGAGTCAAAGAAATGCAGTTAAAGCAAAAGCAACCTACGATTATAGCAAAAATTTAAACTAAGCTGGTTCGATTTAATCACTTCTGTATAGCTTTGTACGCGCTACTATCTTAAAGTCAAAACATTGAATGACTAAGTACCTCGTTAACATGGAAACTCTCATAAATAGAAAGTATGTATAAATTAAAGCAGAGGAAACAGAAATAAGACCAATTCAATGTACTTAAAAAATAAAGGCGAAGGCAACAATAATGCAACAGAAAGGCAATTGTAATTATTGTCATTAATGAGTTCATTGGGTCCGTGAATTTACAAAACGCCTTAAAGATCAACAAAACGCTCAAAACAGATGTAAAGAAGCTCAAATTTTATTACTCCAAATTACGAAAAAAAAAACACAAAACCACAATAAATAGTTCGTTAAAAAAACTCATTTTCAAACAATTTGAACACAAAAAAAATTCAAAACATGCCACAAAAGGCTGCGGTATAACTTTGGGGTAAGTGGCAACTCAAACATTTAGCATTTATCAGTTGTTTAGTAGTTCTAAATTTAGATAAAAACTATAACAACAAAAGTTTATATTTATTATTCGATTTCTAGTAGATATTCAAGCGGATGGTAATATGTTCAAACTTTCATATGAAAAATCTGAGTTTTGCAATTAGGAAGTAAAAAATTTTTATTCAAAAGTAACATCAGGCACGAAGTAACCACTCTAAGGGCATACATCCAAAATGTATTATACAAATGTGATTTGAATGTCAATATATTGTTAAGAGAGCGGCAACACTGGTTTATGTTGCTTAAGTGTGTCGCTATTTTACAATTTTGTTTCTGTTCTCGTTCTGTTTAAGTCAAAGTTTTCCAAATTGTTTTATTCTTTTGTTCCATATTTTTCTTATTTAAATAAAAAGAAACTGAATGCACATGTGATCAATGTGAACATATGTGAAAAATTCTTAGGTATATAATTAATAAATTGGTACAAGAGTACCAATTTTTGTTCTTTGTTTCTTCTAGTAAACTGTGGTTACAATTAATACTCAATAAATAAATTTATATTTAAGATTTTGAAATTATGTTATATATTTTAAATGCTAAAAGGAAAAACATGATTTTTAAACCCTTTATGCAAGTCATCCATGTAACCAAATCTAATATTATTTAAGTTTATAATAGCACGTATTCAATTTAAACGACATTCTTTTCCAGATTGCTTTCCAATTCAGATACTAGTTATAAGCTGAAAGAAACGTTTGTTAAAGACTGAGCCTTGTCAGATAGTAATCTGCTCTACAAATTTAATGCAAATATAATAACTCATGTTATTGAAAATAAGCGGAATCCCCAACCAAAGAAAATAAAAATATTGATATCTGCGCAAAGCGCCCTATCAATAACGCGTAAAAAATTCATGCAAATTAGTTAACAAAAAAAAAATCTAACAAATGCATACAATGTAATGGTTATCATTTTAATACTAACTACAGTATGCTTAATGAGGATATGAGTGTCTAAGGTCGTTGGAAAGTGGTTAAAGAAAATCATATGTAGTTTTTATGCTTACGTAAGGGGCACAACGTTGCTAATTGTCGATACAACAGAACGTATGGTTCTTCAATATATTGGCCGACTGTCCCTATGAAAGCACTGGTTTACTCCAATTTACTTTTTTATAACTAAAAGATACCGAAAGAACTCTTAGATATAGAAAATCATTACGATCTTTCCTATGCTCACTCACCTCTACACCTCTCAATTAATGAGAGAGCAGTCATAAATGAGTCCAAATTTTACTTTATAAATAAATTTACTGACTGGAAATTCTTTAGACTGCACCTTAAAAACACACTTAATCTTAACTCTGATCTAAGCTGCGTGACTGAAGTGAATGATAAAGTTGTCGTAATTATCCAACAGACCCAGAAATCATCATGGATGAGTACTCCTTAGTTCTCCAAACACCAGGTTGGACTAACGCTTGTAAAAGAAATTAATAAAGTTGTATGTCAAAAAAGGAAATTGCACAAAAAGTGGCAACAAACTCGATCACATACTGACAAAACAAAATTAAAAGGAAAACTTCGCAAAAACGAAAACTCGTTATTAACGTTAAAAAGTATCAAATACCTTCTGATCAAAAAAGAACGAGAGGCCTATTTTTGAATTCCCGCGCTTATCCCATCTGTAATTTTATTATTTTCACGCTAGCAACACTATTATACACATTCTGTCAAAGTTTAACGCATATCGTACGATTAGTTTTTGTATGGCGTCTATACAAAAACTCGAAAAATTTTCGTGTGGCGATTTTTATAATGGATCAAAAATTAGAACAACGTGCGTGCATCAAATTTTGTGTTGCAAATAGATTCAAGTGGGCCGAAACTGCTTAAAAATGTTAAAAAAGGTCTTTAGTGATTTGTGTGTATCGCAACCACTAGTATACGAATAGTTTAAAAGGTTCAAAGACGGTCGTACAAGCTTGGACCATGATGAGATCCCTGACCGTCCAACAACTTCTATTACTGAAGAAAACATTGCATTGCAGTATTGTTGGGCATCTCATATAGATCGGCCGAACACATTTTAACTGATGTTTTGGGTTTGAAACGCGTCGCTTTTCGGCTGGTGGCAAAAAAGCTGAATTTCATTCAAAAAAAAGCCGCAGTTTTTGGCCAAAAACTCCGCCAATATCACCAACCATGCACCGTACTCTCCAGATATGGCCCCGTGTGACTTTTTCCTCTTCTCCCGACTCAAATTGCCATTGCGAGGAAGGTATTTTGAGACCATAGAGGCCTTAAGGTAAAAATCGCAACACGAAAATGTTTTCGACGTCTTTGTATAGACGCCATACAAAAACTAATCGTACGATATGCGTTAAACTTTGACAGAATATGAATAATAATGTTGCCAGCGTGAAAATAAGAAAAATTTACCGATTGGATAAGCGCGTGAATCACAGTTCTCGTGAATAAGTTTTTTTTTTATCACAAGGTACAACAAAATCTTAAAAGTATTTTCTATGACACACGGACAGATTTCTGCTTGTGAAAGCAGTAAAACAACCAATACAGCATAGTCCTCCTGTTAAAGCAGATACTACAGCAATGGCCAAAAGTAATGAAGAAAAAGCAAATTTAAGAAAACATTCTCATTCAATGATGATAGAAATAATCTTCCTGCATTAAACGAAGCAATACATCCAACTCCGCCAATGGAAATTAAATACGATATATAAAATTAAAAAAGGCTGTTCTGGTTAGGACAACAAAAGGCTGAGATCTTAATCAAATTCCCTCACAAAGCAATAATCAAACTATGCAAAATAATTAATGTAGCTCTGCGATTAAGACACTTAATAGAATTCAGACAGTTCTAATAAAAAAAACAATTAGTTCCATCAGTTTAGGTTTCAAAAAAAATATTCTACTGTTGAACAAATACATAGAATATGCAACAACATCGAAAGTGCATTCGAAAAAGAACAATAAAATTATACTTTAGTATTCCTAGACGTATCCGAAGCCTTTGATAAAGTCTGGCACAAAGGACTTGCGGATACGATTCAACAGTTTCATCAGCGTTTAATTTTTTGCTTTTTTAAAAACTTAAGCACTGATGAAGTTCTAAAAAACAGAACGAAATATATGCTGGAAATTTTTAAATAAAAGCTTTTTAATTTGATTTGTCTGCTAGCCGAAAAACAATTTTATATCTTAATTTACACAGCCGACTTGCAAGCTCCATAGCTACTTTTGGAGATAATACAGTATTCCTTACTACTGAAAACACCATAAAGCAATCATCAGAAGTAACGCTACACGCTGTTAATCTTTTGACAGTGTTAATTATGAGTTGGAGTAATAAATGGACAATAAAGCTGCACCAAATGAAATCCGTCCATGCAAACTGCACAAACAAAAAAATTAAATATTTGCATCGATTCTTTTGCCTGTAGGGATGTCACTCTTCGCACTTAATGTCAAGATCCAAATAATGTATCAAAATATAAATTTGCTTGAGTTTTCAATCAAAAGTATGTTGTATTTATGTTTACTTTCTAAATTAATAAATGTATAACCCTTTATTAGTAACGAAATCTTGTATTTTTCTTTAAATATACTATAGACTTTGAACAAATATTTTTAAGTTTTATGAAACAGAGTAGAAGTACTTTTGTAATATTAATTTTATATTTTTGTACATATATCATTAAAAGTCTAAACTTCTTATACGAAATACAAAAACTACTCGAAAATAGTAGAAGAGGCCAATTTTAAAACTATTATTCTATTATTAACACTGGTATGCACACCGATCTACCCCTGTCCACAATTTAAATAAGCCACTAGAAATTATTGGTAAATATATAAGGTAATAATCATAAATTTACATCTAACATATATGCATAGTAAAATACAAAATACATCTATTTTAAATTTGATCGTAAGTTGAAGTATTCTTACCTTTTGTGCTCAAAATCAATAATGTAATTTGATACAATAATTCCAGTCGAAGGGTTTATGTGAAACAAATTATCATTATTTCCGTCAGTTATTTCATAGAACACTGAAGATGAGGAATGAGCTTCGATTTGTGTTATATAAGTTCCAAAAGGTATATTTTCGTTTATCTCTACTACAAACATAGGCGTTCTAAACCTAGGTGGATCATTCTCAGATTTTGTTAATAATAAATGAACTGACATTTGAGACGACAAAGGCGGCTCACCTAGATCGGTTGCTCTTATATGTATCATGAATTCGACCATTTCGTTATTACTTATTGGCTTTGAAATAGATAAAACACCCAAGTTCTGATCTAAAGCAAATATATTACCGAAATTTCCTGCTGCTATAGAATATCTTACTTCAGCATTTTTCCCATCATCACGATCTGCGGCATAAACCTGAATTATTTTGGAGCCAACTGCTGCACTTTCAGGAATTCTGCTTTGAATAATTCTTTTAGAGAATTCAGGAATATGATTATTCTGGTCTAGCACTGTTATAAAAATTTTAGCAAAACTTCTTTTGCATGGAGTTCCTTGATCTTTAGCAATTGCAATTAAGATATGTTTGGATTTCTTTTCGTAATCCAATCGATGCTTTAGTGAAATGATACCACTTTGTGAATCAATCTTAAACAATGTCAAAGATGAGAGATCTTGAGCAGCGCTAAGACTATAATAAATTTTGTTTTCTTCATCTTTATCAAAAGCTTGTAGATGCATCACGTCAGTTTCTTCATTAATGCTTTCTGATATATTTATATAATATATATTTTGTGTAAATTCAGGACGATTATCATTTATATCTATCACTTCAATATAAAGTTGCGTTTGAACAATGTTTGTGCCATCGGTTACAACTATAGTTAAGTTATGGTATTTTTCTTCCTCCCAATCAAGTTGTTTGATTAAAATTACATTTCCGTTTTCTCTTCCAATATAAAAATTTTGAAAGTCATTTCCACCTTTAAAAAAAGATATAATCAATTGCTTTCACTGTTTGTGTTTGCTTTTAGTGAAATAGAAAAACAAAAAGTTTTTAAATTTTTCAAATATGTATCTACATTTGTGTGCTGATATCATATCAATGCTGAAATTAAAACAAATTACTCAGGCTTGTTTCTGTCTTCGGAATCTCAATAATTTTACACTGACTAACAGCTACTCCAGCAAACAACGCCGGATTTTTATACGCTTGAAACAATGAAACCAAATACTTGTTTGAAGTGCATCAACATTAACTAAACTTACTGCAGAATTAAATATCTTCTTGACATCTACGCAGTTTTTCATGTTATAATGTAGAGGAAAGAAATGGTCAAGTACTTTCATTAAAATACAAACATTTAAATACGATTTGCATAAACGTACTAAGGTGCTCTGTTGGCCACAATCGAACTGGTAAGTATCTGAAAACAGAAAACTGACTACCAAATAGTTTTTACGAACCGACATATTTAAAAACTGAACTGCAAATACTTAACCGTAACTTTGATTACAAGTTACGTTTACTACCATAACTATTTGATTGACAAATGAAATAGTGTTTTAAAACATCAAATAGGTCACAGTGTATGGCTTTTTCTGTTAAGCAATTGCAACTACGCTCATTAATTGTTATTAGCAACTCGAGGAGTAAGCGTGTACAAGAAATGGCTGCCGCTATATGTGAAGTAGTCATTAACATGAGAACAACTGCAAGGTGCAGACGGCAAGAATACCAAGGCCCTATTGCACCAACACTTTTCACTTTGCAAAACCTACGAATGATTTTTTTTTGCAAAGTAAAAGTAAAAAGCGTACCAAAGACTTAACACCAAAGACTTAATATAACTTATTTTGCACTTTGAAAATAAAGATTTTATTGCATAGTCTTTGCATAAATTGCAAAGCAAAGCGTTGCACCAAAAAATTAGATTAAAGATTAATCTAATTAAGATTAAGATTAAATTAGCAAAGTTTGTTTGATATGTTGTTGCTATGAGTACATGACTTATGCATAGTACGTATGTATAAGTTTAAAAAAACGCAAGAAAGGGTTATGGGAAATGTACGACGAAGCAAAGGAGGAATTTTTAAATTTAAAAATAATATATAAAAAAATTAAATATATTAATTTAAAAAAAGCACTTTATTTAATAAAAGTGAATATATTAGAAATTTATGGATTTAATTTTTATATTTTATATAACTTAATTTTATATTTTCTAATTTTTAAAATTTTAGTATTGGTACAATATAAATATATATTTTTATTTATTTATTAATGATTTCTTTCATTTTATGCATTTTGTCTTTTATTAATATACATAAGAAACTTTTGTTTTCTGTAAAGCAATAATTTACAAAATTTGTAGGTGCAAAATGAAAAGTGTTGGTACAATAGGGCCCAGGTCACAAATTCTAAAGTGCCCATTACACGGATCCCCCGATGTTATCGCCTGATGTCATCGCGCGATGTTTTCGCTTGCCATTACACATCGAATTTTTCGACAATTTTATAAACATCGCCTCCAGCAAACAATGCAAAATTTGTTCACTCATTAGTGTTAAAGCAATCGCTGAAGTGTCAACAGCGGCTGCTATGCGTAATTTCGTAACGAAAAATGATGTTTTATATTTAATTTATAATTTTAATTTATATATTAATTTTTATAATTTTAATTTATATTTTTATGTATTATATATTATTTAATATTTTAAATCTTTGTTTTGATATATTTTAATAACAAGTTTTCCGTTTGTGCACAGTGCAATTAATATTTAAAATAAAATATTTATTGTAATTTAATGATTTTTTATTTATTTATTTTTGGTAGCCCAAGGTTATTTATATTTTAATTCTTCTTAATAACATGTTTTGGAAATTAAAAAATTTTACTTAGGTAGAAAATGCAAATATTTAAAATAAAAGATACAATTCATTCATATTTGCAAAGCATCGCATGCTAACGATAAATCATGCGTACATTTAACGATATTTACGCTTCCATTTCTCAAAATAAATGAAATTTTGCATGCCGACAAAATCCGACTGTATTCGCAAAAACACGAGCGTGTCTGAAGAAATATCAAAATTTCTTGATTTTCGTCATCGCATTTCTTAAAATTTCAAATGTTACTATTATACAAACAAATTTCGCATTTCACAAAAAAGTGCGAAAAAAATTCTCATGCGTATATACGCGCATAAAGGGATGAAAGCGAAAACATCGTTTAAAGGCATGTATGATTTCATTTTTTAGTATATTTGTTGTTTTATCTGGTGCGATGTTTAAAAAATTGTTGAAAAATTGTATGTTAATGGCAAGCGAAAACATCGCGCGATGACATCGGGCGATGCCGTGTAATGGGCCCTTAACAACATGTTAATACCAGAAATATTACGACACTTCTCTAAAAGTAATTCTAAATATTTTTCGTGTGCTATATAGTCAGAGGTAAGTATATTCAGTTAACACAGAGTATAAGGAAAGTGTAAGTCCAAAGACTTAATATAAATAATGAATGCATCACCCCTCACTACAGTGGATGAAGCAGATGATGCTACGTATCACGCAGGTATGTAAAATATCAATTAGAAGTATCAGTCAAACAAAAACTGAAAACCACTTACTGATAGACAGATGAATTGTGTCAACTAAAAAAGGTATGCTTATGCACACGATGGTATCATAAAAAACCAAGGTGAACCTTCGAGAAAGTAGGGCATCAATATACTTAGGCCAAAAAGAAATTTAAGAATTTGTTTCACACAAGTAACTGCAGAAAATGGGATGAACCCTGAAAAGTTGTAATCCAAAAAGCATTGGGTCTACAATATAAAGTTGTCATGATAAAACTAAAGGAAAAAATGAAGAGAATTGTAAACACCCTTTTCTGAAGCTACCAGAAAACGCAACACTAATTATAATATTGTTTTTTGCCTTTATAAGCAGAATAATAAGAAGTTATTTAAGAAATCAACGCTTAAACTATTCAATAGAAAATGGATTAAAATTGATAGAAATAACGACAGAGATATCGCAAAAATTCACTCTGGAGCCGAAATACAAATCTGGTGAAGCTCATATGGCTTGCAATTGACCACCCATAACATAGAAATATGTTTTCTATCCGAAATATGTTAAGTAATGGTATTTGAATTTACCAAAGCAATGCCAAATTATTTTCGTGTAGGACTTGGAGGGAAACCTACGTTTTAGGCACAAGTAAGGACTGTAGTCGAGAAAGTAGCAACAGCTCCTTGAGCAATACAATGACTTCCATGGGAGGATCCATTGCGGAAAAACGAAAATTGCTATAGAAAATGACAAACACTATCTTACTCGCAGGTAAGGAAAAGTGAATTAAAATACTATGTATAGAAATACAAAAGAAAAGTATAAACGTATAAAGTGGACAGTAAAGCAGTGTTAACTCAAAGGACAGGTCAGATCACTAGTAAGTAAAAATTTCATTCTTACACCTTCGATAAGTGCACAAAATTGCAATGTGATTATACCAGGCGGCAGTCTGACTATTAATCATTGTACCCGCCAAGTGGTAATGAGTCCATTTGGTGATTAACTGAAGTCCGCGGATTCCTTCTCAATTCTTTCTTAGCACTCCGTACCTTTAGAGTTAGGAAACGGAAGAAACAAAAACGACTTTTGCATCAATAGAAAAATATCAATTGCGGAGACAGCCAATGTACCCCGGTAAGCGTAGAAATCCGAGATTTGGACAGCCTTATAACCGAATTAACCATGCTCCAGAATTCCACGGAGAAAATAAATTTGAAAATATCTGGCGCGAATACCAGAAAGCAACGGTGAGCCTATGTCTGCATGTCGTGCCAAGCAGCCAAACCACTTCAAAAGAAAGAACGCTTCCGCGTGGACTTGAAATATGTAAAGTATAACTCTTTCAGGATATAAAAATATGTCTCATGCTGTTTCAGAAGTCTCGAAATGGAGGATTTTCAGTATAATTGCAAAATGTCTGACCCTAAGGCTTCTGCATTCGATGTGGACAAAGCTGTCAGACTGGACCACATACCGAGATCCCGCAAACGCAATGCTGCAATGCGATATGAGAATACTCTAAGCAAATATGCAAAGCTTGGGACTGCTGATGCTCTGACTTCCCAGGTAATCCTAGAACACGAATTATAAGCAATACAGATTAGCACAGAATGCTATGAGGATCGTTTTGAAATATCAGTTATCTGAATGCTCTATGTGAGAACTATTAACCCGTGAGCGGCGGTAACGGACACACTACACTGTTGTTACTTAACACACCGCGACACGTTGAAAAAACGTTGAAGGCGCAAAGAGTCAGTGATAATACAGACCCAAAGGAGAAAGCAGAAGCGGCAGTCATAAAGTCACTAGATAGTAGAACCTTTACGGGCATAGCATGATGTAAAACCAAAAAAAATACAAATATTTCGATGTATTACATTCGCAAGACTCTAAATGGAACAGTCGTACTCGAAGTCACAAAGAGCAAAGAGCGTTCAGCATAGTGATAGTGAAAGGCGTGTATAGTAGTGCTGTTCGTATTTGGTTTTATGAAGTATTCAAAGAATCCGAATAATCGTATAATAAACGAAGTCTTCGAAGCTGGAAATAAATCCGGATTTTTTGTATTCGCAGTGAAATTCTTCGAAGACTTCGTGAGAAAAAATTAAAGTGAGAGCACAAAATGCAAACAAACGTGCATCACACAAGGTATTTGAGGGATGATAGAATTTTTTTGTTTGCACGATTTTGTGTTTTTTTTTAGTGTCTTAAGCAGAAAATTATATATGTGTTGTTTGTAATGTTTGTTTCATTTTATTTTATTTATTTTATTACATATTATCAAAAAAAAAATTTACATTTTAAGTAACTTATATTTATTATTAAAAATTACATTAAAATTAAAAAATTATGTTAATAAAAAAATTTTAATATACTATAAAATACTTATGTAAGAATTCGATAATTTAGTTGTCTCAGAAAAAGACAAGAATTATACACACGCGGAGAAAGCGGTTATCTATGCACGAATGAAAGGCTTTCACTAACTTCAAGAAATCTGGTACTAAATAAAAATACTTCAAGTAAATATGTATAGATGTTAAATTGCAAGCTCTCCTAACGCAAATGAAAATCGATAAGCATATGATATTACATTTTAACTTAAGACATTATTTTTTATATTCTTTATGGACTGCATCATTTTAATGGATTTATAATTTGTGAACTGATACATGCATGATAGTAACTTAAAATGTACCTAAACAAAATGTTTTGTAATGAAGAAATTGAATTATTCGATTATTTGCACAAATTATTTGCATGTTAATAAATATAAATACTTTGTACTTATAATTAAAATTAGCACCAAGTATCTGGTACACTTACCATTTATAATATACCATAAACGATCACCATCTACGTCTCCAGCTTGAATAAGTGTTATAAAAAATCCAGGAGGATCACCTTCAGTAACTTTGACAACATTGTCAACTGTTTTTATAACAGGAGGATGCTTAGATTTTTGACTTACAAAGACAGATACAATACTCATCCTAGCTGTCTGTGATCGTTTTGGGCTTCCATTGTCCTCAGCACGAATTATCAAATCATATTCAGTTGCCTTATCTAAATAATTCAATAGATAAATTGCACCAGTCTTACTATCTATGCGAAACTTGCTCTTTCCTTTTCCAGACTTCATAGAATATGTAATTCGACTATTTTCGCCAAAATCACTATCAAATGCATGCACCTGTAAAAATACATTTATATATACAATATTAAAATTGAAACAAAATGTAAAAATACCTGATAAATGGAATTATTTATTTTGGTTGTTGATGGAACCTCAATTCTATAAAATCGATTATCAAATTCTGGACTGTGATCATTTACATCTTCGACAATTATAACTACTCTTGTAATAGATGTCAACTCAAGTAAATTATTATCACTTATTGAAATCTATAAAAATGGTAATTAAATAATTAATTATAAATATATATCATTGATATATAAATGAATATAAACATGAGCAACATTTAATGAAGAATACTCATTAACAAAGTTAAAATTCGTAAACTTAGTTCCGAGTTATTGCAATAAATTTTTTACAATAGACAAGATTATTTTATGTTCAACAAATAAATTTACTTAAAATATATGTTTGGAGTAAATCCGCATAAATTTTAAGTATGAAAAATTAAAGTTACCTAAAATATGAGTTTGTCGTAAGCCAATCTAATTTTATGCGATTAAAATTACTCAAATTCTGGATTCTGGAACGAATTCTGGATTATTTTTAAGAAAGAATTTCCTTCTTCACTGTGATGACGTAAAAATAAATAACACTTGCCGTTAGCTAAGTGATACTCTGTAGAGTCTTATGAAATCCCGTCTTTATGTTGAAAGCTCTTTGCGCCTTCAACGTTTTCTCTTTCTGTATTTATGACAAGAGAGCAAACGAAGTGCAATTTATCATTACAAACTTTTTTGTTTTGGTTAATTTGCTTAGATGAGCTTCTGCTAAAAAAGCTCTGGATTCAATTCTGAAAATTGTAATTATTTGTTTAAGAAAAAATTTTGGAAAAAAACAAAACACGTGCAATTGTTTTTAATCTAGACGAAGAGCAATACAATTTTCAAATTTAGAATTTAGTATTCTTAACTTGTTTTATTCTTCAAATAAAGCTATTTGTTCTTAAAAAATTAAGAATTAAATTAAGATTCTAAAATTGAGAAATTTTTTGTGTAATATTTGAAATTTTTTATACACAGCCCTACACCAACTAAATTTGATTTTTCGTTTTAATTGTGCCCACCGAATCTAAGTATGTTCAAAAAAGAACTGCAACGAGTCCTTATTTTCACACTCAAAGTATCTGCATAAAAACCAAATAAAAAAAGTGTGTATATGGGTGATTCTGTATACGGACGGATTTTGGCAAAAAATGACCTCAAGATCTCCGATTTGGCTGACATTTTTTTTATGAGCTCCTTTTATAAAATAAGAAGACTGGTATCTCGGGAAAAAATTATGTGATTTTATTTTAGGATATATGGAAAATTGTTAATATTTAAGTACTAATATTAACTGTTAAATTTCAAAAAAAAATTTTTCTTAAAATACATCCCCAAGGATTCCATTTTTTATATTTTATTTAGATTCAGTTAAACATTATCTTTTTTTGAAATTTTTTAATATTTTTTTTCTCCCGCAAAACACATCAAACACATGCGGACTACATTTCCATTGAATGAATTTTCAATGAATATACTACATATATTCTTATATAATATTTTTGATTTCGATTAGTAATAAAATTCTACACAAAACCCAGGACGATATTGTAATTAGAAGTACTTTTAAAAATTTATTTATTCTTCATATCAGACCAAACACATATATACGATTTTTCAGTAAAAAAAAAAAGAATTATGTCACTCAAATTTTTTTTTTTTTACTTTTGATTCAGATTAATATATAAATTCTACTTAAAAAATAAATATTTTCAGTAGGATATCTGCTAATGATCCTGCTAATTCCCAAAACCCCATGGGCCCATATCTTCTAGTAAAAATCACAAAATTTTTTCCCGAGATACGTGTCTTCTTATTTTATGAAGGGAGCTCATAAAAAACATTTCAGACAAATCGAAGATTATGAGGTCAAAAAGGTGACCGGTTTGTAAAAGAATGACCCATATATGTTTTCCTCATACACCACAGAAACGATTCATAAGTATTTTTGTTAACGAGTGGCGGTGCTAATGCATCATCGGCACAAGAGTGCGTGTACTCTTCAAAGTGTTTGTATACTTCCCATTACATATAATCATAACAACAAAATCTTGATTAGGAAAAAACACAAGCTTCGACGACTATAGCAATTGACTATGATTCCGATGGATAAACTAATACAAAATCAATTTACGAGAAAACTGCAAGATAAAACCAAGGCATTTAAAAACGAAGCATTTAACGGCTTTCTTAGATTAGACTAGACTGATTAGCACCGACTACTCATTGTGGAAAGCAGCTAAGGCTTTAAATCGTTCAGTGAACCATAGTGTTCCGATTCAAACCAAGGATAATAAATGTGTTAAGACCAACATAGAGATAATACATCCCTTTGTTGAACATGTTCTACAAGAAACACTTACTCCAAACTTAGTGGACAGCGAAACGACAATACAAAGTGTTATGCATGTGTAAATTTTATATGTATGGTAATCCTTCCCTCTATTATAAATATTAATAAAGTTAGTCGTAATGTAGCTCTAGCTGAAATCGGTCATTTTATTATTCGTGGAGACAACATTCTGGCTACGAGGATTATAAGTGAAAATTTTATGCTATTTTAAAGGTAAATAGTAGCATTTATTTAAGCGATATGGGTGAAGTGGCTGCATGTCTACCGTTTCCTAGTTTCAATAAGGGCAACCAAAATTGGAAGTCTTATCTGCAGCAATTAGAGCAAATCTTGAGGCAGATTCCGTGATCTCGGTTGAAAAACGAAAAGCGTATTTCCTCTCATGGATAGGTGCAGACGGTGCAGCTAACTGAAAAATTAACGGAACATTTCCAAACAAAGCGTCATGTTGTCGCCACTCGTTATGAGTTTTTAAAAGAGAAATGCGACACTCACAAACACATAGAAAGTGAGTAGCAGAATTGCGGGAAATTGCACGAGAATATCAAAAGCAAACAAGAATGCTCTCAAATCGTGTTTAGGCTGCGGTCATTCTCACACTGGAGAGAAATGCAAATTTCGCAATGCTATTTGTCATAAGTGTGGAAAAAAGGGACACATAGCTGTGGTGTGTGCATCGAAGCAAAACAACAATAAAGATAAATATAGAAAACGTGATGATCAAAATAAAAACAAAAATAGTGAAACAATTCAAACAGTGCACAGTACAAGACTTGCAAAAACGCAAGGAAATTAAAATGTGATTGAACTAGAAATATTTAATAAAAACATCAGTTTTGAAACGGACTCTGGTGTCAGTTATAAATAAAGAAATATATAAACAGTTGAACAGTCCAAAGCTGGCAAAGTGTAATAAAATTCTACATGCATGTGGTAAAAAGCCAATTCCGATATTGGAAGAGTTGCACACTGTTGCAACAAAGAAGCAAATGTAGTAATTATTGTAGTAAATATAGGGGAAGCAAATAATCTTTTCGGATTTGACTTGTTTGATACTTTCCATTTTACTATTCAACAATTATTAAATGTAAATGAAAATGTTAAATTTCAAATAACTAATCTTTGTATTAAATATAAAGAAGTGTTTGAACCGGTTAAGGGTGCAATAAAAAATTGTAAAGTAAATATAATTTTGAAGCCGAATGCTACGCCGAAATTTTACAAAAGCAGACAAATACCTTTCGCAGATCGACTCACAAGTGCCGAAGACAATAAAATATTACCGTTTTTTAATCGTAGATTCGCATTGAATGTAAATAATCATAAGTTATGTCTAAATACAGACATAAATCGAGTTATCTTTCCTCGCACACTAAGGCAACATATTCTAAAGCTTCTACATGAGGGTCACTGGGGTATAGTCAAAATAAAACAGTTAGTTAGACAGCATGTTTGTTGTCCTGGTATTGATGATGATATTTCTAGCAAGAACTTGCAGCATATGTAAAATAAACAATCCAGTGAAAGAGTTTCATAGTTAGCCAAAACCTACTTGGCCGTGGGAGAGAATTCATATTGATTTTGCCGGTCCAATATTTGACTCAATGTGGTTCATATGCGTAGGCGCTTATTCACAATTTCCGTTTGTTGTTCAAATGCATTCCACTACATCAACAAACACCATAACAACATTAGCAGCTATTTTTGCAATTGCAAGTTATCCTAACTTATTGGTTAGTGACAACTGACCTAAATTTACAGCAGATGTTTTTAAGCAGTTGTGTCAAACAACTGTATAAAGCATATAAAGGTATAAAGCATATTACAACAGCTCCATTTCACCCATCGTCAAATGGATTAGCAGAACGTTTCGTGTAATCGTTCAAACCCTCAGTCAAAAAACATATGGAAGACGGATATTCAGCTTCTACAGCCGTTACAAAGTATCTCCCTTCATACCGTTACACATCGAACGTAGAAGGCAAATATTCTAGGACTTGTTAGGCTATAGAAACAGTCTCCTAACTGATGAGCATCAAGTAAACAAAATGTAACTGGAGAATGGTCAGAAGACAAATCGCAGCTAGTATATTTTAAGATAAAATTTCTGCACATGCCTTTGGTTACGGTGAAGTCTATTAGCTCTGGTATTTTATTGTTATCGGCAGGCAAATATGTTGACTGCCCAGGAGAGACTACGTCTAGTGCATTTTTCCTGTATAAAATTGAATTGTAAAGCTGTTTACCTTTTGAATTACAGAGCCGTGAACCCCAATACGTGTGCTTGGCGTTGTAGTCTCCTTCTGCAAGGATTCTGTCACCCAAAGTTAAGAAGTAATCCGTAAATTGAATCTCAGTAATGTTAAAATTGTGTTTTAGACGCCTTCGTATTAAAATACCTGTACCACCATGTGCTTTGCCATCTTGGTAATTGGTTTTATAGAACAAATAATCAGGAATAGAAAATAATTTTTTTCATTAGATGTGTTTCTGAGCAAAGCATTACTTCCACATTTTCTCGGGTGATGAAGTTTGTAAGTTCAAGTTTATGTTGGCTTACGCCGTTTGCATTCCATGTACAAATTTTCAAAGTACTCATATATTAGATAAAAACATTTGCATTAATTGGCTTTGCATTTTAACTATCTCGTTAAGAGTAGTTTGCATGATAAATATAAACTGAGTTAAGCTCTGGGTGAGAATGTAGATCATCATTTCCAAACTATTACTTTGAACTGGAGGGGCTTGTTGTTTGTCAGATTTAACGACATTAGCATATGAAACACCTGGTGTAAGAGATTTAGAAGTTAAA